GTTCCCCTCTCTTTCTGGGCACAGCTTGCCTTGGTTTGGGTGTAGCCTGCTGCCTCTGGAGTAACCTTCCTTCCACTTCTGCGATTAGAGCTGGCAGTCTCTAGTTTTGTTTTAATTCCAAATTTAATTACAAATTCCCAGGCCTCACTTCATCCCTGCTGAGTGGGAATCTCCTGAGTGAGCCCAGGAGTTCCTGGTTTTCGTTACAAGTCCCAGAGGATTCTGTGCACACAGCCATGGGAAAGCTCAGTTCTCAGAACATTGCAGTTCTAAGTTCAAGGTTAAGATGGAGAAAAGCAGCTCCTACTTACAACCACCACAGAGCGTTGCAGAAACCAGATAGCTGCCCATAGGGTAAAAGGGTGTGAGCTGGCAAGAGCTCAGTGCGGCGGAGTGTATGCACTCCATTTCTAAATTCTTTATGCATTTCTTTATGTATTTCTAAATCTCTGGGACCACCATGACATCCTGGGCCTAACCTAGCCCTGAACTCAGCTAATTGGGAATGAAGGGCCACAGCAATCAGGACGTTGCTGTCAGGTGGCCCGGGCCAGGCCTCTGGTTAGGTCCTAACCTGAATAGTCCATGCTCTTTCACTCTAACAGCTTAACTTAAGCAACTTGATAAGAACAGGATTCTTAAATCTGTAACACCCCTAAATGAAACGCTGTGACAATGGGAGCAGAAAGGGTGGGAGGGTAGGAACAGGAAGTGACGCTGCTGTCCCTGGGGTGTGCTGAACCCCGACTGCAGCGTGGAGCAGGCCTCCCTTCTTGGAAGGACGATGTGGCGAAAGAGACTTTCTGGGCACAGCAATGTCCCTCTCCCCACCCCTCTTTCTCAACACCAGCACCCGCCTCCTGGCTAGAAGAGGAACAGCCAAGTCCTGGCCTCCACATCAGGCCAAGGGACACTGCCTTGATGTGTTCCAGTGCTGTCCTGGGTGGCAGGCAGGAAGACAGCCTTTGCCAGTCCCCCATGTCTCGTGGGGAAATCAGTGAGTGTATGCCAACCTCACAGGTAAACCAGGTGACTTGGGGGAAAGGAACAGAAGAGGGGGCACTGAGATGCTTCGATGGACTGATGCCCCCCACTTGGGAATGTGACAACAGGAGTGAGTGCATCCTGATGGCATCCCTCAGTGAACCCTTTTCACTTAGGACCTAACTCGTTCATAAGTGATGCGCTTCTGGTCAACAGAAGTATTTGTACATGAATTTGCGAATGCTGGGAGGAGAGATTTCCAGGCTTCTTACACTCTGTACCTGACCCCTCATTTAGAAAAGAAGAAAGAGAAGGAGGGGACCCACCTGGCGGTTGTCTACAGCATTCCCACCCCTCTCACAGGCTCGCTCACTTCCCTGGGGCTAGGGGTCTGTAGGAAAAGTTCAGCCAGAAATAGATGGAACATCCATTACAGGGGGCAGAGTGAGAGTAACAGGTGATGTTTACTGAGCGACCACCAACTGCCGGGCACCATGCCTATGAGTGTTAATCCTCATTCCAACCTTTCGAGGCAGGTAACATTATTACTTCCCATTTATAATGAGGAAAGGGAGGCATTAGGTCCATAAATAACTGGCCCAAGGGTGGCGCCCGTAGGTCAGTGGGCACCAGCCACACACAGTGAGGCTGGTGGGTTTGAACCTGGCCTGGGGCAGCTAAAGCAACTGCAACAAAAAAGTAGCCGGGCATTGTGGTGGGCGCCTGGAGTCCCAACTGCTTGGGAGGCTGAGGCAGGAGAATCTCTTAAACCCAAGAGTTGGAGGTTGCTGTAAGCTATGATGCCATGGCACTCTACCCAGAGAGACAAAAAGAGACTCTGCCTCAAAAAAAAAAAAAAGAACTTGCCCCAAATCACAGAGATAGTGTAGATGAGCTGGGTTTTCAAATCCAGGAAATAATCACCTCCTGGCCCCAAATCCAGTAGTTTCTCCTGGTACTTACGATCCAAACCCTTCATCACACCTGCAAAGCCCCGTCTGATCTGGTTACTAGCCTGTCTTCAACCTCATTGCTCACACACTTGGCCAAACTGAAATTCTGACTTTTTCAAAACTCGTTCCTATCTGAGGATCTTTCAATATGCTGTCCCATCTGCCGGGATCATTTTCTCACACTGATCTCTACAGGGCTCACCCTACTTTATTCGCATCTCCGCTCAAGTTCACTATCTCCATAGCTGCCTTCCCTGAACCCTCGCCTAAAATGGGCCCCCGTCCCCCATCCCCCATCCCCTTGCTCCGTTTTATGTTTGCTCTCAGCACTGGTCGCTAACTGAAGTCAGGTCCTTATCTGTGTGACTGCACTTGTCTGCCCTCCCCACTAGAGTCTAAGACCTGTGAAGTCTGGAACCCCAGCACTGCGACGTGCTCAGTAAATACCCACTGAATGAGTAAACATATGAATACGCAGGTCGGAGTGTATTAGTCAGGAGAGGGACATCACATCTGCCTGACCCAGCTGAAGGTGAGAAAGTAACAATAATCCAGTGGTTTTTCATCTTTTGGAAGTTAGGCACGTCTCCGAGTCCTAGATGAAATCCATGGACCTTTTGTCCAATAAATAAATAAATAAATAAAATCTTTGCCTATAATTTCAAAAATCCCTTATAAATCCTTTACAAACTAACAGAAGGACTTGGCTCTGTGTGACTGTCAGCTGAAGCTCCTTTTTCTCACCCCCCGGTTGCCTCCTGGATACTTTAGCCCCCTCCGCAATGCTTCCCCAGAAGGAACAGGATCTGTGAACAGGGCAAGGAAGTGAGCGGAAACTCCAAAGTGAGTGTGCCTCCCTGGCCCAGAAATGAGGTTAGGTCCAAACCAGTCACACACTGTCCCCTCTGGACTTGTGCTCACTCTACTAGATATGAAGACCACCATTAATACCCCTTCCCGGCCCACACATACCAGCCACATAACCCTTCAAAAGACCACCTGTTCTACCCCGTAGAACGTGGCCTGTAGGAGGCCCAGCAGCTTCTGCTTCCCTTTATGAACCAGACACCGTAAATCCAGCTACGTGAGACCAGCATGTTGTGAGGAAGCCTGAGTAGCCACTTCGGGTGTCTGGAGAGGGAGAGGCATCTGGAGGAGTAGTGAGGCACCAGACGTTTGACTGAGTCTTCCTGGACCTTGTAGCCAACTACATGCTGAGTCGGAGACTCAAGCTGATGTCACAGAGAACACAAGAACCACGAAGCCAAGCCCTGCCCAAGTTTCTGAACCATGATATAATGGAAAATGATAAATACATCTTTGTTGTTTTAAGCTACCAAGATTTAGGAGAAAGTTGTCACACAGCAGTAAATAGCTGACTGGTTCACACCAAGTCCTCACCAGTAATGCCCTCCTCTCCTACCCATCCTTCATCCATCAGATCCGGTAATTCCTCTTTCTGGAAGTTTCTCCCATCACGTCCCCTCACTCCTCACCCTGCCAGGCTCTGGACACTGCTCAGTAAACACCTACTAAGCAGTGAAGGCTCAGTGCAGAGCTCACTCCCGAGTCCCTCAGCCTGGGTGCTTGTCTGCACGCCCAGCGTGGGCCATGCACACTGGTTCCCAAGGCTATCTCTGTCTATCTCCCACCAGATGTCACTTCATCCACATATGCCACACACACCCCCAAACACCTACCACATAGTGGAAGCTCAACAAGATGTGACCAACTGGGAGGATAAACCCTTACGCGACTGTCTGGCCTTTGCCACACAGTGTAGCTCATTCTCCCTACAGACCTGCCTCTCCTTCCCGCTGACACTACAATGCATACACTTCTCCACACAGTAGGCCCTCAACACGCATCCTGTTGACTTAACTAATGGACGTGTGACTTTCTCTGTGATCTGAGCTCCAGGTTCACCACCCACAGACCTCCGTTACTCAGATTGCTGATCTCCCAGACCCAGATGCTATACTAGGAGACCTTGCCTGTTTATTTCTGGGCCTTTTCAATCAGTGAAATTCTCCAAAGTCCATGCTAGCTATAGTCACAATGATGAGTTCAGGACAAAGGATAATACTTTGGAAGCTACATTCTCTTTAAAGGCATTCACCAACTCCTACTGCAACAGACAGACATGAAAGAGTTAACACAGCTTCCCACGCTGCCACAAAGTTGCAAATCAACTGGAAATATCTGGTTCCATCTGTTATTATAAAGCACAGTCCAGACGGAACTGTGGGCATTGTTGCCACAAGGGACAAGTCACTCTATGAGCACACACTTAGGCTTGTGACCTTTACTCGACATTCCAGAGATACAGGCACTGAGTGGGCCAGGGAAGAAGGGACGGGTTATAAATAACGTGGTGCAGTGGGCTGGACACTGGGGTAGGGGCCAGATTCCTGGTCCTGTTCAGCCTGGTGACTCCTTAGCTGCAAGACAAGCACTGGGGTCTGCAGACATCGTAAGCCTTTTCACACTCAACTACCTTGGACCCTCCCTTCACCTCCTGAGGAGCAGTGACCCGGCCTGGGCTCCCCCGGGCAGGCCAGGACTCATCTGCCTTCCACGTGTAGCCCTCCCCTCCTCAGCCCGTATGTCTCTGCTGAGACTGATCATACGATCCCATGGGCTCATGGAGGCCGTGAAATCTCAGCTCCATATGTAAGGCCGTGCCACCCAGAGCTGAAAGTCCTGAAGGGGAGGATGGGAGGAAGGACAGCAGGACAGAGGAGGTCAGGAAACTGGTTCCTTCTGGGCACAGGCTGGCCCTCAACAAGTGCCTATGGGCCAGAGAAGTCTGCGCTCACCTCTGGGGGACACAGGAGCCGGACTGGAAGACAATGGCCCTTAGACGTGGCCTCGCCCAGGTTCACATACTCTGTGTTAATATTTATCTCCTTGCTGCCCAGCACCAAGTGATTCACAAACTGGCACCATGCTTTGGGTAGCACTGATGGGTTTAGTTAATTCCCCAAACTGTCCAGAATCTAGCATGATACTGTCACCTGCTACAAACCAAGACAAGAAATGGAACAGTAAGTTTCGACTTACTTGCTGATGGTTGAAATTTGACCAGCTCCTGCAAATCAGTAGAAATCTGGAAAACATGGCTGTAGAACTGCTGCACTGAATTCTTCAGGCCAGAAATGTCTCTGGAGTGTGCCCTGAGCGTCCCGTTCATCTGCCTGACGCAGCTCCACAGGCCGCTGACGTGCCTGTTGAGTCCCTCCTTGATCCTCTGAAGGCTTCCCGACACGGAGTCCAGTTTGCTGCAAGTCTGTTCCATCTGAGAGACCCTCCCCTCCACCACGGAGACCTCTGTCTGGACCCCACGTGTACTTTCCTTACATGTGTCCAGCTCGGAGCGGACCTGGCTCTGGAAGCTCTGCCACCTCTCCTCCAGCTGGGTACAGCAGCGAGCCTCGGGGTCCTGGGGGGACGGGAGGCTGTCCACTGTCCTTTCTTGCTCACCCACCTTAGTGCCCCCACCCACCGCAGCATTTTTACCTGCCTTGCAATTCCCCATTTCATTCTGAAGAGAAGTCACATTGTTTTCTGTGTGGTTTAGCTGAGAAGAAAGGAACCTGAAGTCCTGCTGAAGTTTCTGGATGCTGCGCTGGGTTTCTTGGAACTTCCTGTGCATTGTGTCATTTAGAGATTGCAGAAGGCGCATGCTGTCACGCGTTGCCGGGTCCTCCCCGGTCCCACGAGGCTCTGCTCGGAAGTTCTGCAGGCAAATATCCTCAACGACCTGCACTTTGTCCTTCAGGCGGTTTAATTCCATCACCACCTGTTCATTCCCCGACCCTGCCGTGTCAGGCAGGGCTAACCCAGGGGGCGTGAATGCTGCATCGGTGTCGTTGGCCATCTGTAAGAGGACGCTTCCCAGACGGTCTTCCAGAGACTGTATTTTCTGATCAACAAGGTGCTTCAAGCCATCCACCTCTCCATTAATGGTCCCCCGAAGGGTTTCCTCGATGTAAAAGCAGTGCTCTTCGGCGTTCTTCTCCGTCACGTTGATCCTCGCATCTAGCTCATTCCACCTTGCGTCGAAGTCCACCTCTGGCTCTGGAACTACAAGGCGGTCAAACTCATTGTCCAGCCGTCCATTCAGCATCCTGGTGGCTTCAGCAACTCTCTCGATTTTCTGGTCTAGTGCCTTGATCTGCTGATCAAAGTCACCGTTCTTTTTGCTGTCACAGCAGTTTGGCTGTGCTGAAGGACCCTGTATCCGAGCTCGAAGGTCACTTATCTCTTTTCGGAGACTCGTTTCCTTCTCCCCTATCAGCTCGACCACTCCCAGGTAGCTGGTCCCGTAGTCGTCACACTGCTGCTGGAGGCCAAGCAGCTTGTACTCACACGAGTTCTTCAGGTCGGCCAGCTTTCTGTCCATCCCCTCCATGAGCTCCTCCCTCAGGGCGTCGATCTTACTGTCCACGTAGGCCTGGTAGAGCTCGTTGGTGGTCATGGTCACAGTAGGGCCCTGGGCGGCCTCCTGCAGCTGCCGGAGCTGCCCCTCATAGCCCTTCACCTTCCCGTCCAGCTCTGCCAGCTTGTCGCTCTTGGTCTTCAGGGTGTCTTTGACTTCGGCCAGTTCGGACTTGATGTCCTTCATGCCAGACTCTTTACTGTGCAGGACGCCAGGATGCTGGACTGTTCCTGTGTCTCCACTGGTGGCTCCATCAGGCTGGGGGTGCTGGCTGCCAAGCCACGACGGCTGCATTTTACTGGCATCATCCTGAATGGTGTGTTTGAGGTTTTCATTCACTCCAGCAAGGGAAGACTGGAGGTCAAGAACCGTTCTTGTGAGTCTGAGAACCTTCTCCTCTAGCACCTGTATTTTCTTGTCCTGAAGTTCTTGGGGCCCCTGTTTCGGATTCACCACCTGGCTTGGTTCTGCTGCAGTTGGAGACAAAGTTTTCTTGGGCTCCGAGACTTGGCTTGGTTCATTATTATCTGTAATAAAGAAAAAGTTGGAAGTAGATTAACAAACTGTGGTGTATAGTATATCATGGAATACTATTCAGCAATAAGAACAGATGGAGACTTTACATCTTTTATGTTAGCCTGGATGGAGTTGAAACACAGTCCTCTTATTAAAGTATCTCAAGAATGGAAAAGTATTCAATACTAATATGAAACCAATATATAAACAACTACACGCCCACACAAAAGAAAAAACACAAGTATAGTCTAGCAAGGGGGAGGGGAGAGGACGGGGGAGGGGGGGAAGGGAGGGAGAGGAGGGAGGGTGATTGGCGGGATCTCACCTACTGTGCACGGTGTGAGGGTGTTCAGCATACAACTACAACTTGAACTTTACCTTAGAATTGAAAACAATGTAACCTAAACATTTGTACCCTCATATTAATCTGAAATTTTATAAAAAAGAATAAGAGGACATGAATTAACATTTTCTACCTCTAGCCAGTTTCTGCAAAGACAACAAATGGGACATGTACAGAACACACTCAGCCTCCACTTCCAGCCGTCCACCTGACCGTGGACGATTGCTGCAGAAGTGGAAAAGAATCTGGGCTTTAGCGTCAAGTCAACCTCTAGTGGCATTCTGGCTGTGCTACTTACTGTTTCCCCTTGAACAAGTTCACTAGTCCGTGAACGATAATCCCCTCATCTACAATGAGAAGGTATAACCTCTCCATTAAAAGAATATACACACTGTGGGCCCAGTGGCTTATGCCTGTGATCCTAGCACTGTGAGAGGCCTTGCTTGAGGTCAGGAATCAGAGACCAGCTGGAGCAAAAGCAAGACCCTGTCTCCACTAAAAATAGAAAAATTAGCTGGATGTGGTGATGTAAGCTGTAGTATTGGCTACTCAGGAGGCTGAGGCAGGAAGATTGCTTGAGCCCAGGAGTGTGAGGTTGCAGTGAGCTAAATGATGCCACTGCTTTCCAGCCAGGGCAACAGAATCAGACTCTATCGCAAAAGAAAAAAAAAAAAAAAAACAGAATATGTACACGGCCCCTAATAGATAACCAATGGGAATCTCCCTCTCTCTGAAGGGAAACATTCATCATCCCTGAAGGGAAACATTCATCATCTGCTTTATCATATGAACACTTCATTCCCACACGGTGAGCTGCAGCCACACCCAGGGGTTGACTGCATGCTGTAAAACCACAAGAAGCCACTTTAGCAAGGTCCGCCCCTCAGCTGGTAGATGATGATATCATAGGATATGAAAGTGTCTGATACTATCCTCAGAGCAAGCCTGAATGTTTTATCTTTTACTTTCTACACTATAAGAGTCTCTGAGACATTGTTTAATCCTGTGATGCAGCCGGGAAAATGCAAAGCATCAGAGAAATAAAGCAACTGTTCTATTACTGTTTCCTAACAACAGAGCACTCTGGCTGCGCAGAGTGAGACTCAGTAAGTCAAAAAGCAGAGGCACTGAGGGACGGCCAGCTGCCGTGGTGCCCGCCTGCAGCTGCAAACGTGGGGGCCTTCAGCCCAGGGCTTTGGGCTAACCTGGGAGACCACATAGTGAGACCCGTCTCTAAAATACAAAGGGAGAAGGAGAATGCAAACAATGAACTACTGAGTTTTGGATAATCCTATTTTGAGAAAATCCCTCCCAAAGAAAAAGAGTCCAAAAGAAAGAAAAAATTACAACAATGATCGTCAGATGAACTAATACACGTCCACACAAGAGAAAAACTCAAATTCAAGTTGGGGCAGGGGAGCAGGGAGGGGGTGGGTGTGTTCCCTCTAACGGGCGCAATGTAAGGGCACATGGCACACCTCCCACGGGGACCTTACCTGACAAAGACAAACACTAGAACCTCATCGTTCGCTCCCTCATATGAATCTGAAAGTTTTTTAAAAAGCAAAGCAAAAAAACCATGATAGTGATGATTCACGAAATGAAAATAAATCGATAGATACAGAGATAGATAAGCAAAAGCAGGCTATGGAAACCTGCCCCGGGAGGAGGATGCAAACAAGCCACGCGTCTGACCAGGAGACGGTTACGACGGCACAGGGGACCGGAAGGGGCTACCGCGGACCAGCCTGGGGACTGCAGGGACGTGCGTGTCACACTGTGGAAAAAGTCAAACGCAACATCTATCACAATAAAATGTTTCAGCAAACTACACTGAAAAACACCGCACGTAAATTTAGAGTGTACATATTTTACTTTAATGGTCATTGTTTTTTCTTCCTCTAAACTTTTGCACAAGATCAGAGCAGCAGCTATTACTAATTAAAATGAAGTCAGTGGTAAAACCGACACTGAAATTCAGATGTCCAGACGCCCACGTATCTTTTTCCCTGCAGAGATAACGAACACCTTATTTTCCACACTGGAAAATTTTACTCTCGCAAGACACTTGACTAAAAGAAGAAAACAAGTAATTGAAACGTTATCCTGAGCAAAGGAAATAAAATAAAAGGCAGCGAATGGGGGGGGGGGTCGAGGCTACACAGGAATGCTGCTCTCCTTTACTACCGGTGACTGTAAACCGCTACAACTTTTTCAAAGATAATTTGGCAATATGTATCAAAATACACGGAATCCTCTTGCCTATGCAACTACACCTGTAGAAGTGTAATCTAGTAAACAATCAGGGATGAGTGCAAAAATTAAGCAGGAAAAATGTTTATTCAAATGTTACCTCTAATAGCAAAAAATTATGAACCACTTGTGTGACCAGGTTCAAATAATCACATTTTCTGAAGCCATTAGGTGATAGTGTAGAATATTGAATGATATGGAAGGCTATTCATTATAGAGTAAGTAACAAGTTCCACAAGAAGTGTGTCCTTTGGCTCGGCGTCTGTGGCTTAAGTGGCTAAGGTGCCAGCCACATACACCTAAGGTGGCAGGTTCGAATCCAGCCTGGGCCCGCCAAATGACAATGA